CATTGATTTCATACAATCTTTTTGAAATTAAATATTAAAATGTTGTGCAACTCTACTTAATATTGCCCGAATGACCAAAAGTTAAAAGATATTTTTTTTTATTTTACGGTTTAATATAGGCAGGTGTCTCAAAGTAAATTTTCTAATTTTGCATTGGCAAAATAACTACCACCCTAACCATCTCCCTGTTTGAAAACAAATTGAACTTTATCGAGTTCCTGTTCAATTTTCTTTCTTATTCTATTTTGTATGATGTAAGTAGTATCTTGAATGTATGTGTTAAGGGACTTATTGTATTGGATTTTAGTTTATATATTAAACAACATTTATTTATTAAATTTGTATGTAAAATGTAACTGTGAATAGAATTATATTTTTAAAAAAAGAGCTGATACTGGGAATGGAAGCGGCCTCTGTTGTAGGTGAAAAGTTCAGAAGGTAGGATACATAAGGTTATTTCATTTATTTCTGTAAGCAACGATAAACCATTCCTTGACGAAATACGATTCCGAGCACAGTTCGGTATTATATAATTTGAAGTGCCGTATTTTTTAAAATTTTTTTTGTGATTTTCGTTAAAATTTGATTTCAAAAAGTTTATTAAAAAAAAAAGTCCGATCATTTTATTACGTCTAGGTGTGTCCAATATAAGTGTTATAACCAAGTTTCAAGTCTCTATATGTATTTATAACCAAATTACAACAAAAAACTCTCAAAAATTAAATTCGTTAAAAGCTCAAAAGTGGCTTAAAATCAGAGCAAATTTACTAGTAAAAAATTTCAAAAGACTAGAAAAAAAATAAAAAATAAAAATATATAAACATCCTAGTAAAACCAATAGCTCAGAATCTAAAAATTACAAACCCAGTAAGGGGATGTGGTGGGGTTGGTTCTAGAATGGTTTTTAACTAAAATATAGTCAACTTGGTAAAGATTCGTAACAAAAAACAAAATACAAAATTTAAAGTAATACAAAAATTATTTTAGTAAAATTTCCCGTTCTCTCTGCGTTTTTTTTTCGATTATGCTCAATTTTTAATAAGACTAGAGAAAATAACAAAAAACGACCTTTTTACTCACGAACAAGATTTAAAACGCAAGAAAAAAAATGTCTTGTTTTTCTATCGGAGCAATATATCTGGTAGACAGTATAGGCTTACAAATTTAAAATAATAAAATCCTAGCGCCGTAAATTTATCACTTCGCATTTTTCGTCTTTTTCCGGTTTTTCTCAAACATTACAAAAACCAAAAAATTAATTACTTATCCATGAAGTCGATTAAAAATCCAATAAAAAAAACCCAATAGAATCCTCTCTTCGTTTAAAATCACCCTGTATTTTCACCCAAGCATAAAATATAGCCTGATGAGGAATATTATGTTTCCTATGCATAACAAATTACCATGACGATGTATTAAAAATGCGGCTGGACTATGAATTAATATATTCATCACACTAATGGCCTTCTGTAACATTGTTATTACGGTGCCTAAAGCCGGACCGCAAANTTCTCAATTGTTATTGGCACGCGGGTGCCACGGAAACCAATAATAAAAAATAACCACATAGAGTGTATATTATCTCTCCATGGCAAAATAATAATTGTTGATTATCGTGCGTGCTATACTTTGACTTAAGAGGCCATAACTCCAGAACCACTTATCGCAGAGCATACAAACTTAGATAGTAGCCGATTCTCAGACCTACTGAATATGCATATAAAATTTCATGAGAATCGATCAAGCCGTCTCGGAGGAGTATGGGAACGAACATTGTGACACGATAATTTTATATATAAGATAATAACATTCCAGGGGGGGGGGCAAGTGCCCCGTCGTGCCCCTCCCCCTGGGGACGCCCATGCAATTTCTCATTATCTGTTAAAACATTATATTAATTTTAATCTATTATTAAATTTTTATACATAGGTGTTATTATATTATTGATGATGATATTATTATTATTACATTATATTATTATATTAAGTAATATAAATAATATTGCTATAAATTCAACACACCTAATCATTAAAAAAAACATTGCAATTGAATTGTAATAAAAATAGTACCTATGAAAAAAATCTAAAATCTATATTTATGTAAACATTGTAAACCGTAAAGAAATAAATATTTTTTAAGGCACATTCTCAATTTTGTATACATTATTTGGCACAATATAAAAAAAGGTTGGCCACCCCTGGTGTACACTTAACTGAATACGAACTTCACACGGTAGATGTGCAGATTGCTTACATAAATGGGGCATGAGAAACTCACCAGATTGTGACTGTGGAGCAGAAAAGCAGACCATCTACCACATAGCTTTTGTATGTCCTATCTACGCCTATCGAGGTCCCAGAATCGACTGCCTCACAACCTCTTCCACATTTATTAAATGGCTGGAAGAATTAGAACTAGATCTCTAATACCTTATTGTTACCTTATTAATATTACTCATTAGGGTGTCCCTTATTTAACTATACATTTTTTTTTTTTTTGCATTTTTGTTAGTCTCGCCCCCTAAATTTGTGAATATGCATAAAAAAATGAACTACAAAGAGTTTCAAGTCAATCTATTAAGGTTAACCCGTGCCGACTCAAATTTGAAATTTGAGTATATTAATATATTCGTCATTTTATGTTATATTTTACATTCTTATGTATATCTCATTTAAAAGTGGGAAAATTGAAATTTGTTGTATTATATGTTTTGAATAAAATAACATTTTGAATAAATTATGTTCCTATATATTTCTTCTTATTTATTATAATTTACATGATATATTGAGTTTTATGTAAGAAAATACTATTTGCTCAAAATTTTATTACGAATATGTATTAATTAAAATTGTTTTTTTAATGTTTCCTTTTTACAATCAGGATATAGTCTTCTGTGTTCTTGTATACATTGTAATAGCAACTTCTTGTCATCTTTGGTTAAACTTTCGTGAAAATCTTCCATAAGTTTAACTGCTCTTTCCGCTGTATCATTTACTACTTTTAGGGAGTATACAATTTCTTTCCCGTGTAAATAATTAATATTACTGTCCCATGTGCTCGGATCATCATTAAGAAAGTCTGTATTAATACCAAATCGAGAAAAAAATTGCATACTGTTCTTAGATATAAAAGAGGCCAGTGTTTTTTCTAGAAAAAATTATTATTTTTCTATTAATAACCTTACAACTTATGTAATAACTAAATAACAAAAACGACAGTAATATACCTGAAAAAGTTTCGCCAAGATCTTGAAATGAAACAATAAGACGCTTAGTTGGTTCGATAATTCTATCGTTGTTAAGTGACTGTACCATTAATCTTTTGATTTCGTTTGATAATGTGTCATCAAAGAAAGCTAATGCTGCAGTCTCTTTTGTTAAGTACCATAAATGATTACTAATTTTTTTTATAGCGGCTTTTGAAATATTAGAATGTTCATTTTCATATAGTTTTAAAAATTTAACAAAATTTAAATCATTAACTGGTGCTCTAGCTGGTGCGGTACAGCTAAACCAAGCTTTTAAATAAAATCGAACAATAAAACCACAAAGATCACGAATAGGGGTCGCTGTAAATTGCGACCCATTTATAATTTTGTATGTAAATTGCGGCCCGGACATATTTTGTACATACGTAAATTGCGGCCCGAGTGTATTTTGTACATACGTAAATTGCGGCCAATTTTATATGTATTTATATGTATTTTATATGCTTACCTAAATATTTTTTTATCATTTGTCCATATGTAAATTATGTCTAAGGCTT